ACTCATTCCTTCTCACATTACTTGTATTATAAAATATCACAATATAATCATTATTATACATTTTTTATGTTTTTTTTACTAACAATGATTTCGTTTTATACATTTTTTTAATAAATAAATAATGAAAGTACTATTGTACTATAAAATCGTGCATAGCACGGGTTCTTATAAACTAATAAACTAATTTATCTATAACTAATACTAAAATAGCAATCGATGACATCATGCTATCCTAATATTAGACACATGTCATATTGTCATTAAATTTTTCCCTCCAAAACAATAAATGATGTCATCATTTTCTAATTTTTATTTTATTTTATTAAAATTTTGGTCAGCTATATTATTATTAGTATCAATTTCGGAAAAACGGTCTATTCTCTCTAACAATAATAATTAAAATTTTCTTCCTCAAGTACCTCTTTCATCATTCAATTTTTCTACGAGCTCTAATTTTTTTTTTAATATTTGATGTATTATTTGTTTTGGAAATATTTGATGTATTATTTGTTTTGGAAAAAAAATTATTTTTAATTTCGGTATGAAAATATAAATATAAATTAGTAAAATACAAAATAAAATGAGTTTAAATAAAGTAATATAAGTTTAAATAATTAATAAATTCAGATAAAATAAAATAAATTTAAATTAAATAATTTGAGACAAAATGAGACGAATTGAGCAAAATGTAAGTTGTAGGATAACAATTAAGAAGAGAAGCTTGACTATTTATTTTAGGACATTCACGTGATATTTGTCGGCTCGATCATAAAGTCACATGTGGAGTTATGGCATGCAATGAAAATATGAAATAAGGCCTTTTCCACTTGACTTTCTAAGATGATTATTTTAATTAATAATAGTTATCAAGAAAGTTTTGGCAAACAAAATTGTTTGTTACATACGTTGTATAGAGTTATATTCAGTTTCTATCACATATATAGGGTGAATCTCACATTCTCTAGGGCCGAGAAACACTAGGGGTCTAGGGTTGTGGGTGATCGATCTTATATACGGATAATCTACCTTCTTTAGATTATTTAAATATAATAAACAGGTATGTTTCCTAAAATGTGCATGAAAAGGTGTAACGATGTGGTTAGGTGATCAAAGATTATAATTGAGGTTAAGGGGATCAAACTTTTTAGCTTCCTTTCATTTTTGGTCTAAGATAGGTCATCATACATGATTAGGATTGTGAGAGGGAAAATTATACATAAGATTGCATAGAATGGTAATCTTGAAATTTTACGTGTATAACCATCCATAATTTTTTTTTATTGTAAATCTTAAATAAGTGCAAGTAAATTTCAAAAATTGTAAATGAGTTTTCTAATTAATTTTACATAATGTACTTATATCATATATAAAAAATTCATATAAAGTAATATAATTATAAAGGTAAAAAGAAAACAAAATAAAAAATAAAAAAAAAAAAAAAAAAAAAAGTCTCAAAGCAGATATTTTCTTTGAAAGTTTCTTGAACTTTCTTGCATAATCTTAAGCATTAGATCATTCTCAGCAGTGAGGAAAAAAAAAACCTCTCAATCTCTCTCTACCCACTTTCTCACTCCTCCCATACAATTTCTCTCATCAAATGTTTTTTTCACCACAGCAATGAGGAGAAAAAAAACCTCTCATCACTTTCTCCTCCACTATTTTTTAATTTATTTTTTAATTACGTTTAAAAATAATTTAATAAAAAATTATAATTACGTTTAAAAATATTAATAATACTAACTGGAAATTTTTTTTATAAGAAATAATTATAATAATAATAATAACAAGAAGAAATTGGGAAAATATGTTAATTTCTCTAATTTATGGGTTTTTTTGAAAGTATATCAAAATGCATGTCTATTTATAGAGAAAAAAATTTTATGGTCGTTGGTGATTTTTTTTTTTTTAAAAAATAATTACAACGGTTATATTTCAAATACAAAATATAACCGTTGTAAAAAAACAACAAAAGCAGTGGGGGCCACATGTTACTGTTCATCACCAAAAGCCCTCAACTCTTGAGGGTTTTTATTTTCACTCATCGGTGAGTGTTTTTTCACTCACTGATGTAGTGTTCGGATTTTTTTTTTACACCCTTATTTTTACTCGTGAGGGCTTTTCTCCTCACTGCTGGGAGTGCTCTTAGGCAAACTTCCAAGCAAAAATGCACAAAAAGAAAGGGAAAAAAAAACTGTACATAAATAAAATAATTAAAAAAAAAAAGAAAAGTGAGTGGACATTTGATATATCCATGACAGTGAAAGAGCACACTTTCTATATAAAAAGGTAAATAAAAAGGCAAGAGAAAAAGAAGAAAGGGAAAGAAAGCAAAAGAAAAGCCAAAGCACTTATGAATAAGTTATGTGCTTGGGACCCATTTACACTAATTTTTTTAATACAAGTTGTGGCTTACATTTGCTTACACTTTGTAAAATATCTGACTGTTTTTTAGTTGATGAGAAATCTGGGTCACATACCCCCCTTAGTACACCACTATGATTTGGCATATCATATTTTTGCCTCACAGTTTTTCTACTCCTTGATTAGGAATATTCATCATTTTCTTGGTTGAATGAATAATAATCTTAATCTTTTGGCTTCAATGAAGACACAAGGGATGGGAATATGACATATCATTTTTTGATTATTTTAGTCGAGTTAAAGGATGATACTCCGATCTCAACTATTAGAGTATATCCGGATTGTATACGCTATCTATCAATTCATGGACTAGATTTGCTCACAGGGGTTTTCTTAGTTAGCATTCCTATTTTATAGCTTAATTAATTAGGGTGTTAACATGATGTACAATACAAGTATTAATGTTACAAGCTTTTTTTAATGATCGTCTTTTCACTTTTTTATTTCTCTTTGTTTCTATCATTTTCTTCACTATTTTCCTAGGAAATGGGAGTATACCATTGTTATCTAAATTTTAAGCTTATCCAAATGTAAATAAGCACTGCGGACCCAGGAATTTCCGAGTGGTGAGTCACAATCGATAACCAAATATGTAAAAAAAAAAAAATTTACCAAACAACCAAATAATAGTACTAAAAAATACATTCAAAAACCCAGAAACCATATATCCTCTGTTCTTGTACCCTCTTTCTTAGAAGCTAAATAACATTAAAGAACTAAATATTAAGTATATGCAACCAACTAAATATACGAAACTTAGGTCGAAACACTCGCAAAAACAACAACAATGTAAGAAATAGGGCAAAATGCATATGATCTTCAACAAGAGGACACAAAACAGAAGTGTTGTTGATAAGCATTAAGCAAGCAGGACTAGAATCGAAGGCAACAAGAGGACACAAAACAGCAGTATGAAGTAATAACTCGTTTGGTTGATAAGGGAAATAATTTTCCATAAGAAGTTGTATTTCACGGGAAATTATTTCCCAAATGAAATTTCTGGGAATTTTCTTATGGCCTGTTTGGATATGCGGATTTCATTTGAAATTCCCATTTGGGCCTGTTTGGATAATACAGTCATTAGGATTTGTATTTGGGTCAAATTCATGCAAATCCAAGCCTTTACAAAATTAAGTCCAGCTCAATTATATCAACATCACAGCAAGAATCGAAGACCCTAACACAAACTGTGGCCATTGAAACTACACGAGGAATACACAAACTGTTAAGGATATTTGCTTCATTTTTTTAAGAGCCAAAGAAAGAAAAGAAGCATGCTAATACTTGAAAAAAAAAACAAGATTATGTTTTGGAAAATGCAGAAAGTAGTGCATAATGAACGATATTCAGATTGGCTCAATAGTTTGGAAAGCAATCTAAAAATTGAGAGACTGACACATTTTGAAATCAGGAGAAGTACTCTTGCTTTTGCAGATAAGCAAGTCTATTTAATATCATTTCATTTCAGGGTATATCAATTTTAGAGCATCACCTAGCACAGTATTCTAATAAAGTAATAATGATGTATATGAAAAGAAGGAAAAAGAAAACAATATATCAAATAAATCCACCTATCTTCTATCTCCTTCGTATCACCTAGCTCCCATGGTCATTCCTGAAATCTCTTCCTCTCAAACTTTCAAATTCCATCTCACATATCGTCTTTTCAAATTCTCACACTTACCCTAATTTTCTCTCTCCTATTCTGTTTCCCTTTCCCGACATTTTCTCTCTCTTCCATTGAAGCAGCTCCAATTTCTCTCTTCCATTGAAGTAGCTCGTGAGCTTGCCTGATATTTTCTCTCTCCTCCATTTAAGCAACTTCTGAGCTTTATCTACTCCATGAAACCCCATTTCCCAGAAACCATTTTTTTTTAAAAAAAAATCTTAGATTTTTTTTTTGGGCCCTGGTGAGTCACTTGACCCACCAGGCACAAGGCCAGGTCCGCCACTGTAAATAAGTAGTAGGAAGTTTAAATAAAAGAAAATAAAAAAAAAAACTTGAAAAGGGTAACATACAATTACTTAATACGGAGTAACTATCAAATCGACAAAATACTCCATAAATCTATAATTATTAGATAACTAACAGTCAGTCTTTTCACTTGATTTTTAGCAAAATTACCCAAACTCAAACTTTTCTCCAGGAGGTGGATATAAGACTGCAAGCATGGACCATCAATTATCTTGTTGTCAGATAGCTAACAAAACGCAGCAAAAAGGTCTTAAACAGTTATTATCCTATTTGATTTGGCAGCTATCAACAGACTGTTCAACATCTTTCCACAATTGTCACTCATACCCCTCCAGTACTTCCTGCTAGTCATTATTGGCTGCTTAAAATCTCTTTAGATTTTCACTAAATTTTCTTCTTTTTCTGGTAACATTATCGTTCCCTGGATAACAAGGCAAAAAAGCCCTGAAATTCATCAAATTTTCAACCTAACACTTGTAAATTGCATAGATATTTTCTGATTTTTTTGTTTTCCTAAGAAAAAGATTCATCAATTTTGGCACTAACTTAAATTGCATCAACATTCAGAGTCTTGAGAAGTGGTACTTCAGAAACATCTAAAAAGGGAGTGAAACAAAGGCAATTTTCATTATTGGATAGAATATATTACAACAAGAAGCTAAGTATAGCTAAATGTATCTGTCACACCCACTCTATTTATACCTCAAAACACTTCAAAAAGAGGTTTATGTACAAGATCACAAACAAGAAAAATTTGAGAAAAAGAAGAAAAAAAAACTCTGCATAATTCTACAAGATGATGACATGCTTCTGGTTGCTGCTTCTGCTCCACCCCTACCCTAATCAGAAACTTGTTGCCTGCTTCCACTTCCCTGGTTAACGATCACTAATAATCTATAATAGGCTCATCAACTAATATTCTGAGCCGTACATGTAGGTGAACTTTCCGAAAACTCATCCTTTGTTGAGATTCGGTTTCACCTTCAAGCACTTTCTTGGAAGTTCATTGATCGACATAAAGCTGCAGGGTTAGCCTGTAATGCAGGTGGGGTGTCTATATTGTGTAAATCATCATCTTTCTTCTTTGACTGTAAGGTATTGAAAAAACCTCCTCCTTTACTTACAGAGTCACCCTTCTTAATCCCAAGTGTACTCCATATAGAACTCTTGGCAGACTCATCCGGATCATCAATTCTCAATGTCTTTGGTACTAAAACAGTGGGCGTTCCTATAGTCTTCTCATTTTCACTTTGGTTAAGCATTTCTCCATCCCTTGAATGCTTCCCTAGAGTTGGGAAATTAGGGTTGGATCCCGGGCTTTTTTGGCCAGGGGGACATGGAGACACCCAAGGGAAGTTCCAAGGCATTGCACCATTCCAATAAGGAGGAGGGGGGTAAAATGACATAGGGAAAGCTGAAGGGCAAAATGGTGGTACAGGAACTGCCGGATTCCACATGTAAGGCCATTGATAGCAGGGCATTTGATTGGTGAAACCATTTAAGTTTTGCTTGATTTGCCCTTGTTGGCCTGCCGTTACCTTCTCATCCATTGAACTTGTTGTGGTGACTGTTGATCCACTAGATCGATCATCCCCGTTTTCCTTGCTCCTACAAACAGCCTGGTCCATGTTATGGAACCCATTCCTAGGAGTGGCAGTGGTGCCATTCAAGACTTTCTGATCTGCAATGTTAAGCATTGATTCACAAAGGGGATTGTCTGGTCCAAAGGTCAAGACCGTTCCATTGGTTTTCAAGCCCGGGTGATGAACTCCATTTGGAACATCAAGACGAGCTGCTTGAAGAGCCTCAGAAACCGTGATGTGGCAATATCGGGATGCGGAGCTCTTGTTCTTTCGCCTTCCTGCTCCTACAGGAACATTCCTCATTGTACCACCAGCAGTCCAGTACCTCTGGCAGCTCTTACAAAAGTGTCGAGGTTGGTTGACATTATAGTTATTGTAGTAGCAGAACTTCGTGTCCATGCTATTGCACCTAGGACATGGGAGTATCTTATCCGGTTTCTTCAACGTCTTCTGCTGCGAACTCTTCTGATCATCTGACTCCTTCTCATCCATCTCTTCAGATTCCTTCTCAGAATCAGGTGCTTTCTCATTGTCATTAGTATCTGACATTATTGGTGGATTAATGGAGTCTTCCTCAGGTGGTGGTGCAGGATCGTCAGACTGTTCGATCTCCATTGCATCTTCTGTGGATTCCTGAAATTCAGAAAGATCTTCCTGTCAATCATTGTTTTAGTACAAAATACCAAGTGATGTATTTACAGTAAACACACTCCCCACCCCCCTACAAAAATAATAAAAGAACATTTGTTAAGAGATTTGATTATCAAATCACATGTTGAGGATCAATTTTTAGGTGATGCCATCTTACACTACCTTATTGGGCGACATTAAAAGTTACCCGTCAATAAACAAAAAAGTAAAAAGTCAACTCCGACTTGCAACAAGTTATTGTGAAACCATCTCATACAAGACTTCACTAACTCCGTAATTCCGTATATTGAAAAAGATTTTGTTAATAGCAAAAAAGAAGATGTTCATACAAGCTACTCCTTAATTATTGATGATCCAAGCTGTTTATTGGAGCAAATCATACAAGTATTGTTCTTTTTTCTACTATTCAAAGTGGACTTGTGAGTTTCTATGACAGGTAAAAAACACATAACTTATTAAAAAGACAAAAAAAAAAAAAAAAAAAAAAAGGGGGGGATGAAAAATTAATGATTATACACTCCATAATTAAGATGATATAAATTAAGGGGAAACCTGAGTAGGTGAGAAGATATGTAATGTGAAAAGAGAAAAAAGAGTAAAAATTAATGAAAATTTGACAATGTCAAAAGATTCAACCAAACAATAGATTTTTAAAAGCCAACTTTATCACATTAATGAACCTTCTGGAAATTCAAGCATAAATTCCATCTTCGTTACAGAGCAAAGATCCTCCACTTACCCAAAAAAACCCATAATAATTCATCAAAGTAAATTAAAATAAATTGAATGCAATTCTAATTTATTTTTCCCTGTTTATAGGTTTCTTCAAAGGAAAAAATAATAATTGAGTGTGCAAATAATACTAAGGTATTTATTAAATTATTACACTTTCCATTTTATAATTACTAATAGATAAGCCAATATTATTCCTCAATAATAATTGAGGAACTATTAATTAACAAAAAACTACTCTAGTAAATTAATCCTTATTCTCTTTACAAATTCTTAAATACTCAATAATTAGTGAAGAAAAACTCAAAAAATCAAAATAAAATTCACCAACTACTAAAGAATCAAGTAAAATCTACCCGCTAAACAAATCCCAAATCCAAAAAAATGGGTAAAAATAAAAAATTAAATATTAAAAAAAAAAGAAAAAAGAAAAGAAAAAAACCCAGATCCATTATTTAAAAATTTACAACAAAAATTAACCCCTTCATTTATTTTTTATCCTTAAACAAAAATCCGACCGCAAAAATTGTAGTTCATGTAGCCGACCCCATGTTTTCCAAACTTTTTCAATAATCAATCAAACATAAAATTAAAAACAATACAATTGAAACCAAAAATAAATAAAAATTGATACCTTATCATCAACATCATGAAGGTCAGAATTAGAACTTTCATTAGAATCATAACGAGGTGATTCATCATCTCCAATAACAGGTATAGTTTTCCCAAACAATTTAATCGCTGGATCCATCATTTTATTTTATTTTTTTTTAATAATTTTCCACCTAACCAAACACTGCCTTATTCTCTCTCCTAAATTTCGCGGTTTAGAAGGAAGGAAGGAAGTCGTTTAGTGAGTAAATGATTGTCGTTTGAGAGAAGAGGGTAGTATTTTTTTCTAGAGAGAGAAAGAGAAAAAAAAAAAGATGGTGGTGCAAACTTGGCATTCTCAGGTTTTGGGTTTTTGATCCGTTTAAAATCAAATTGGATGCCATGTCAGCATCTTTAGTATTTCTCAGCCACATATATTTTTCCTAGTCCCCCACTTACTTTTTTATTTATTTATAACATAAAGTATTTTTTAATATTTTTATATTAAATTTTTTTTTTTTAGAAAATTTTTATATTAATTATATACTCTGTACTTATTTTTGTATAAAAAAATCTTTTATTGTAGCATTTAATATATATGGCCCTTGAAGTAGACGTGGCACCATCTAATTGGCCCCATCAAGATGAAATTGACCTTTTTGGTTTCAATTTGATTCTTTTTCTATTTCTTATTTTCAGAATTATTTCACATGGATTATTTAAATATTAATTTTCTATGATTTTATGTTTTTGCTTTTTGGATTGGTTGGAAGGTCAGTCTTATATGTGAAGTAAAACCATGGTTAACAACATAGTACGTATACATAAGTTTTTTTTTTTTTTTAAGGTAAACAAAAGGCGTCCTACTAGACGGAGCCTCTCACAAGCATATCCGACCTGGGTCGACACAAACAAGGTCCCTTGGGAGGAGAAAGGGAAGAATAAGGGAATTCCCACCTCCAAGTTGCCTCTAATGGAAATTGATCCCATAACCTAATGATTTTGAGGTGACAATCCTTTTCACTAAATCAAGTATTACTTAGTTAGTACGTATATTGTATACATAAGTTGGGAAATAGCTATAATATAAAGTATATCCAAGTATGTTACACTAATAATAGATAATATAAGTGTATAACAAGAGCACATGACAAAAAGATACCCAAAATTGGTAATATTAAATATTATGTACTACATGCTTTATTTCTGTTTCTTTGTCTCTAATTGTTTATATATTTCTTTAAATTGATCGATACTAATAAATAAATCATAAGTTATCTCTTTTTCAGGAAATGAGAGCTATTTTTTTTATGTTATTAATGGATATATATCTCACCTAACATTGTTTAGTCTTGAGTAGCATGTTAGCAAACACGGTGAAAACTATGGGATTGCATTTTTTTTTTATGGGATTGCATTTTTTTTTTTATGGGATTGCATTGATTAGCTTACATGTTCAGCGATCTTCACGGCGGCTACATATATACAAATATACTTCCTTCGTTTCTTTATATTTGCAACATACACTATATCACGGTACTTAAGAAAGTGAACCTCACATAATATAATACACTTAAAATAGGGTTAAAAGGTTATTGATTAGGAGTATAATCAAGTGAGCAATGATCTTTAAATGAAGGTAATAGTATAATTTTCACCAAAAAAACCTTCCTTATATAGTGTGTTGCAACTATTGTGACATTTTCATTTTAGGGAAGTGTTTCAACTATAAAAAAAAAAAACAGAGCAAATATATATATCTTAATATATTTTCTTTTACCTTACTTTATACTTCGTATATATTTTTATCTTATATCCATTAGCTTTTTTCAAATCTTTCTTAAATCGAAAGTTTACAGGAGTCAACTTTTAAGAACGAAGTAAATATTTACAAGATAACACTGCTAAAACATGCTTTAAAAATGGTGTAAGAAGACAAATGAGAGCAACTTTTACAAATGGATGGATGGATTGGATTTGAGTATGATATATGATGGCACTAAACCTTAACATCAAATATACCTTTATAATAACTCTCTTTTACTCAACATTCTCTCAAATTTCATAATCTTTTTAAAAACATGATTTTGCTCAAGAGCAATATAGAAATGTGCAAGAAGGCAAATAGCTATGAACATATTTTTAGAAAAATATTATTGCATGCATATGTGGTTGAAAATAAAGCTGGTGGAAGAAATTCTTGAGATATTTTATAATTAAAAAAAAATGTTTGTCATCTTCATGACATGCGGTTCTCGATTAAAGTTTTAAAAAGAATTTACACAAACTCTAGAGAAACAAGCTAAATGCATCTATAGTTCAAGAATACCATAAACATATACTCCATCTGTCTCCATTTTTTTGTTCCATTGCAAATAAATGGGTCAAATTTCAAAAAATTTGACTAAAAATTCTCCTTAATCAATAAGAGATAATATAATCATGTTGGGTCTTATTAGATTCATATATTCATTTCATTATATATTTTATTACTGTAATATATATCAAGTTTTTATACTCCCTCCGTTCCCAATTGGTTTCCCCATTTGTAATTTTGACACTATTCATAAGGTGAGATAATCTTCTAAATTTCTCTTAATATATAAGACATAACATAGTCATGTTGGGTCTTATTTGATTCGTCTCAATGAATAGATTATTAATATTCAATTGTTATATTTTTTTTACTAATAAGCAACTAACGATATTTGCGGAACAATATATTTTTTTTACATTTAACACAACATTAACACATAATTAATATCTACATTGTCAATTTGTAAATTTAATTTCTACATTTAAGGAATAATTTTAATTTCTATATTTACACAGGATTAACACAAAATTAAAAACATAATTATGTATAATATTATTCATACACATACAAATTTAAAACACAATCATTTTTAAAAGTATTCATACACATAAACAATTAAAGCATAATAATATACATTAACACAAATCTACTCACATCATAAATAAAAACATTAAATTATTAAACTTAATTTTAAAAACAACCGTTTTGAATTTTCAATTTTAAATAAAATACAAAAAAAAAAAAAAAAAAACCATTTCCAATTTTTTTTAACACAATTTCGATTTTTCAAACTTAATTTTAAAAAAAAAAAACCATTCTGAATTTTCAAACTTAATTTTTAAAAAAAAAACCATTTCGAATTTTCAAACTTAATTTCAAAAAAAGCCATTTCGAATTTTCAAATATAAAACAATTTCGAATTTTTTTTAATACATTTTCGATTTTTCAAATTTAAAAAAAAAAAAAAAAATTAAACAGCAGGGGCTGGCGCCTGGCAGGGCCGCCACAGCCACTGGACTGGCGCCTGGCTGGGCCGCCACATCCACTGGACTAGCGCCTGGCCAGGATGCCTGTCTGGTGGTTCTGGCGTCTTGGCTGGACGCCGGTGCGGTGGTTCTGGCATCTGGCTTGGACGTCCATGCTACGGTACTGGCGTCCAACCTAGGCGCCTGCGCCACTGCACGACCACCTTTTTCAGACGCCGTTACGTACAACGTGAATTTTAACGGTGCTATACCTCGTTTTCCGTCGACGACGACGTACCTCCGTCGTCCCCCGCATCTCCGGCCTGCCTCCAGTCTCCCCCGGCGAGCCAGTACGTCTCCACATTTTTTAGATCGAGATATGTTCAATTTTAGAAAATGGGCATAATTGTCATACTAAGTCTAATTTGTGGGCTTTATATGGTAATTTGCGGGCGATATTTAACAAATCCCTTTGAAAAAGGTCAGTTATATATTTACTTAGTATTTTAATTTGTACTTGAAAAAAAAGGGTAATTGTCTAATACCGTTTTTTAATCCCAACTTTTACCAATTTAGTTTCATTAATCCCAACTTTGGATTATTTTTCAATAATCCCAACTTTAAGGTGACCTATCTTTCTTCAATCCCAAAAACCGGTTACCGGTTGAATGGGTTAATTTTGCTTTTTTTTTTTTAAAAAAAGTGACATGTGTCGCAAATTTATTGGTTAAAAAATTAAAAAAAAATGAAAAAAACCCACCCAACCACCCTTCCCGTACTGCCACCCACTCCCCTCCCCATTCCCGTTCTACTACCCCTTCCCCTTTCCCGTTCTGCCACCCTTCCCCCCCGTTCTACTACCCCTTCCCCTTTCCCGTTCTGCCACCCTTCCCCCCCGTTCTACTACCCCTTCCCCTTTCCCGTTCTGCCACCCTTCCCCCTCACCACCGCCTTTCATGTCCTGTGCTGCCCACCCTTCACCCTACGATGCCGCTCCCCTAACCCCAATCCGCCCTAGAAAACCACCAAAATAACCCACCTGAATCCCCACCCAACCAATTGGAAACCCCTAAACTCCACCTGACCACCTCAAAATCCTACCCAACCAACCCGGTAACCTAGCCCAATTCACCGGAAACCCACCCTACCCCACCCCAAAACCAAAATCCCACTGATTTAGCTCACCGTTTCCCGTTTTCCTGCTGCGATTCCCCAACCTCCCTCTTTATCTCCTTTCCCGTTTTCCGGCGACCACTCCTTCCCTTGAAACCTCTTCCTCCACTCGAAAACCCCTTAAGACCACCTCCCCACTCTCGAAAACCACCAAAAATCCCTCCCCCATCATCGAAAACCCTAGCCGCTAAGGTTTCGTGGTGGTGGGAGGAGCAATTTGGGATTTTTGGCTGAAACCTCCGTTTTCGTGGCTGGTGGCTGCAATTTTGGAGATTCGTGGCTGCGATTTTGGGGTTTCGATGGCTGCGTGGGGGAATGGGAGGGGGTTTCGGGGAGGGGGAAAACGGCGACACAAGGGGTGGGGGAGATGCGGCGTTCCGGCGAGGAGAGGGGCGGCGGACTGGGCAGTGATAGTGGTGGTTAGGGTGGGACGGTGGGGGAGGGGAGGTTAGCTAGGTTTTTCTGATTTTGTGGTTTTTTTTTTGTTTTTTGTTTTTGTTTTTTTTTTTTTTAATTTTTAGACCAATCAGGACTTGACACGTGTAAAGTGACCTGATTTAACATGTTTAGTTACCGGTTGGGTATGAAGAATGATAGGCCACCTTAAAGTTGGGATTATTGAGGAATAATCCAAAGTTGGGATTGCTGAAAATAAATTGGTGAAAGTTGGGATTAAAAAACGGTATTAATCCAATTGTCACTTTAATTACTAGGATGAATTCAAGTATTTGCCAATAGACAAGGATAACTTAGCCAGTTAGCCTATCATAAGATTCAACAAAAACCCTTTCCAATAGAGTGAAGGAGCCAACTTTACGGAATAATTATCTTATATGCATGTTCTTTTCAACTTATTTCAAAAACTTATCTTTAATTATTGCCATATTCTGACCAAAACTATTAATTATCTTTGATTTATTACTAAATATCAATTGCATATTAATGAAAATTATGAAAGTTACCTATTTGGAAAGTAC